CCAGAAGGCTCAAACCACACACCCACGTGCTGGCTCACGAGGGGTCGCACGCCCACCAAGTTCCGGGAGAACGAGGGGACGTGAAACCCAGTGAGAGACCCGGAGGGAGCAGCAGGACACGGTAAAGTGGTAGTGTGACGTGCAGTGACTGGTCCCGTAGTGGGATCAGCCAACGCCACAGAAACAGGCGCAGGAAGTGGTGTAAGTGTCGTGCTGTCCCGAAAGAAGCAGTGGGAGGCTCCAGAGTCCAGTGTGAACGACAGCGAAGCGTCCTCTGAGGTAGTCGCTGGTCTAGAGTCTACACAAGTACCTACACTAGCAACAGGCAACTCAGCAAGACTAGCACCTAAGCTAACAACACCAGAGTAAACAGAGTCAGAAACACTAGAGTCAACAACAGCATACATAGCATGAGGAGCACTAATCAGATCAACTAACTGCTCAGCAGACATGCCCCACAGAGCGGAGCCGTAGCGCTGAACCAGAGGAAGCCAGTCAGGAGCAGGACCGCCAACCCCGTAGGTCAACCGGACCGTGTCAGTGAGCTGAGCAAAGCACTGACCAGGGGGGTGAAAGCGGCCACAAGGGTGGCCCCGACGAGGACCTGTCTGAACCTGGTAGGGGCAGGGAGGGTAAGCAGCACCGCGCTGGGGCTGACGCAGCCCCGACCCCGGAGCCAGCTGCTGACGCTGCTGCTGCTGAGGCTGCTGGGAGGAAAGGGGCTGCTGCTGCTGCTGAAGGTGCTGCTGACGCTGAGCCTGGTACCACGCCGCTGCTCCACCTAGCGGGGCCGACAGTACAGGAGGCGACTGACGAGCTCGAGGGTCGCTGCCACCAGCAGGTGCAGTGGAGTCACCGGCCGCTGCACGAGGGGTCTCTCCAGACGCTGCACTCCCACCACCGCCAGTCGCAACAGCACCCCCACTACCTCCGCTACCTCCGCCTCCACCTCCACTGGAACCACCTTTCTTGCCCCCCCTGCCGCGGGACCGCGACGCAGTCGTAACAGCAGCCGCAGTCGCGTCAGTAGCGGCAGTGGCAAGAGAGGCAGTGAAGGTGGGTAACTGCGGGACTGTGCACCCGTGGAAGAGTGGGGGGGATACAGTACCAGAGGCGGCAGCTACCGAACGAAGGTTGCTCTCGACATCCTTGAGTGCAGACTCAAGGACCTCGATAGTCAGCTCACTAGGGTGCTTCAGCAGAAGCGCGTCACGAACGGAGGCAAGGCGGTCAGGGAGGCTAGTGGCGATGAAATAGACAGTAATCGCCATGGGGGGAGGAAGCAGTGCAAGCTGTGCCTCAGTGCAAGCAGCGCGGTAACTAGCGTCAAGCGAGCGGAGGTGAGCGATCAAGTCAGCAGAGCGCTCAAACGAGGCAAGATCAGGAAACAGGAACGGGAGGAAAAGACGGCCGAGAGAGACAGTAGCGGGAGTAGAGTAGCGGGCCTTAATCGCAGTGAGGTACGCAGCAGCGGTGCGAACCTGAGTAAAGTGGACCTCCTCGGACTCAGGGAGGAGGCTGCTGAGTGCGATGCAGGCCGCAGCGTCACGCGACGTCCAAGCCGTCCGGTCAGCGCGCTGACGGGCAAAGCGAGCCGTAGCAGCATCGTCAGGAGCAGGGCCTAAAGCTGTAGGCTCGGGGGGCTCGGGGAGGTCACCAGTAGCGTGTGACCAGAGGGTCTCGCCCCCCTGGACCTGACTCTCTAACAGACGACGAGCGCGAAGAAGCCAGACGGAAAAGTCAAGGGGTCTACCGTCGGCGTCGAAACGAAGAACTCGCGGAGTCGCCATAGTGAGAACGAACAGGCGAGTAACAACCGGGGGGGGAAGAGGACTCAGTCGCAGCGGAAGAGTGGGCTAGGACGACGGGCCAAGACGTAGGGTAGGGCAACGGGCCAGGGCCTAGGGTAGGGCGACGGGCCAGGGCCTAGGAAGGGCGACAGGCCAGGGCCTAGGGAGGGCGACGCGACGGGGGAAAGGTCAGGGCGACGCGACGGGGCAGGGCGACGCGACGGGACAGGGCGACGCGACGGGGCAGGGCGGCGCGACGGAGCAGGGCGACGGGACAGGGCAGGGCGACGCGACGGGGTAGGGCGACGCGACGGGACAGGGCGACGGGACAGGGCAGGGCGACGCGACGGGACAGGGCAGGGCGACGCGACAGGACAGGGCGACGCGACGGGACAGGGCGACGGGACAGGGCGACGGGACAGGGCGACGCGACGGGACAGGGCGACGGGACGGGGGGGGGTAACAGGCAGGCGCGACGCGACGGGGGGGAACGGGCGCGACGCGACGGGGGGGAACGGGCGCGACGCGACAGGGGGAACGGGCGCGACGCGACGGGGGGAACGGGCGCGACGCGACGGGGGGAACGGGCGCGACGTGACAGGGGGGAACGGGCGTGACGCGACGGGGGGGGAACAGGCGTGACGCGACGGGGGAGATGACGCTAGGCTCGGTACTAGGCGCGGTAACTACGAAACTGGTACGAACGAGAGGTAGGATCAGGCTCGGGAGGTACGAACGGAGAACGGAGGAACGGGATCCCACAGGATCCTAACCTAGCTGATACCATGTCAGAATGAGGAATGAGTGTTGCATTGATGTTGGTTGGGGTACATATGACAAACCCTAACTTCTGTACCCCCTAAGACAAACCTCACTACAGGCTACAACATTTGACACAGACTACCAGGAGTGGTGCGAAAAGGTCAAACAGATGATCCATTTTGCTGTCGTGGAGCGGAGGATCCCCCACGATCCGGCTATGGGTGCGTTCGTCTTTCCGAACAAGTTCCTCATCGACGACGGCGACCTTGGAGATGTCGTCCTTGCCCACCGGGCGCTTTCAAGGCCCGCCAATGCGTAGGCTATTTGACCTGGTGCTAAGACTGATTGTTGCTAGCATGCTGAATAATGGTTCTTGTAAACCGCAATAATAAATGCAATTTTGAAATCCCCAAAATCCAAAATGAACAAAAACTGAATTTAGTATTGAATAAATTGGTCACGAATTTGCAACAAAACGGATTGCGTCGGAATGTCATCCGGAAAAGCTCGCGTGCCAAATTGGAACTTGAACCGAGCCAAGCCTTGTCGCGAGATGTGTCTCGGAGCTCCTATCAAATGACTCCAACCGTCGGTCCAAATTGGCTACGGATTTTTTTACGCGAAGACAATCGAAATCAAAATTCGACCAAACTTGGCATAGGGTTTTTGTGATGCAGTACCCTGCATGAGATATTGCTGTGGAGTGGGTCCCATTTCAAATACGAAGTAGCATACATGCATAGACGAAGAGCAGAGCTGCTGCCTGGCTGTTACAGAGCCACATGACTTATGTGTTCATGCAAGATCTCCGCCTGTGCCTCATGTAACTTCCTTAGCTACCCAGCCCACACAAGCCACTACCTTAGCTACCCAGCCCACACAAGCCACTACCTTAGCTACCCAGCCCACACAAGCCACTTCTTTAGCTACCCAGCCCACACAAGCCACTACTACAGCTACCCAGCCCACACAAGGCACTACTTTAGCTACCCAGCCCACACAAGCCACTACTTTAGCTACCCAGCCCACACAAGCCACTACCTTAGCTACCCAGCCCACACAAGCCACTACCTTAGCTACCCAACCCACACAAGCCACTACCTTAGCTACCCAACCCACACAAGCCACTAATTTAGCTACCCAACCCACACAAGTGAATACCTTAGCTACCCAACCCACACAAGCTGCAAGAAAGCATATATGCAAATCAGAAAGCACATGGCCATAAGAATGGCATCATGCTGTCAGGTCAGGTGCGGTAACATCAGGAGCGAGGTTACACCAGCAAGACAGCAGTTACACCAGCAAGAGGGCAAAGAGAGCAAGGCCAACAGAGGCAAGCATGTGAAGAATGGAAGCAGTGGTTTTGCCTGCAGGAGATTGCAACAAAAGGTAATGGAATCTTAGCACATCGTATGGAAAAGGGCAAACAGTTAGCATGTGAGCGTGTAAGAAGTGTGCTTATGCCACTGCATTTTTGCGTCTCCAAGTGTGCGAGCTTACCTGCATACGCGCCAATAGCATCCATATTATAAGGGAAAAGAACTCTCGCACTCATATACACCGCGACCTCGCTTTCAGGAATATCCACCAAGAGGTCCCCAGCGTCTTCCTCCGTGAACGCCAACGGGCTCCCATCAATCATACGGTAGTCGCCCGGGATGAGGGGATTTGGGGGTGGTGGAGGGCTGGCCGCGTGCTGCTGAGGAGACGTGCCCGAGATGTTCCACGTGCCACTGGCAGAAGTGGATCCGCTTGAATAGTACATGCCCAAAGGAGAACTACTACTAGTAGTAGAAATGTACGACATCCAAAGGGGCTGTCCTTGCATGGTAGGTAGCTCCCACGGCCCTCCTGATACGTACTGGATGTATGGGGAGTGATGGGTGTGGACCAGAGACGGTAAAAATTGTGAATGATAGTTGCAACAGGGTGCTCACGGTCAAGTTTTTTTGTTAAAAGCGTGTTGGGTGCACCAGCCTGACTCAGACGGCATGCACGCCTCACCTTGGCTGTCGCAACGCTGGGTGGTATGTATTCCTTGATAACTTGAAACTTCCAGATGTCAATCATCGCTTTCACAACAGCAGGGTCGTTCCGCGCCATAGGCCACTCCGTGCTGGAACGTTCCGCGAGAGTCATGGTAAAGAGGGCATCGAATATCGCCTTGCTGAACTTTCGCGTCGAATTGTCGTAATAAGGGTAGTTAGCAGCTGCCGACATGAAGGCGTACACGGGCTGCGGGAGGAGAATTGTCACGCCGGAGATTTCAGACGTGCCGTCCAGCCCGAACATGCGCTCCACGAGCGTGCCGTTTGTGCCTCTTGATTTCAATTGCGACGCAAGAAGAGACACGGGAACTGCGCGAGTGTTCACCAGCTGAGAGAAAAACGCCACGAGTAGCAAAGTCGGGACGAAAACATCCGCCAAGATTGAACGTCCGGCCATCGTAGTTTGTACGAGTACTTAAGCCTTCAAAGTTGTATCGAGCCTGCAAAAGTAGTATTGTGTGGAGAAACCCCTACTAACTCAGAAGAGCTGGCTGTATGATAAGTGTATCGAGCAAGAAGAGGTCTGGTGATTGCAGATACTAAGGTGCGGTGGCGAGTCGATGAGAACGGAAAGAGAATGGCGATAAATATACTCAGCAACGAAATCATGTCCTCAGAGTGGAGTGGAGTGGAGGGGACCAAAGGATTCACTGGTTTGGTTCTTGATGCACAAAACAAAATTTACACGATGCGATGCGAGAATGCTTGGGGACGAATCTCCAGTTCACGAATCGCCCCATGTATAATCAAGAAAATAAAAGAAATGATTTCCACTCCCCGTTGGCTCCAGCCTCGCTTCGCTGGCAGTTGCCGAGCCCACACGTGAGCCCGCTCTAGTGACGTTGACTCGAACCGAGGCCCGTGGTGACCGCACGTGGTGAGGACCAGACATCCACATCAGCATGGATGGTCATGATGGTATTCTCGTTCTGCCCTTTGGTTGACAGCCTAGACCACAAAGAATCTGCTCTATCCCAGACCCGTTTTTCCTGTTACGCACGAGAACTAAACGTGATAACTAGAACAAGTCAGACAATCTTAGATGCAATTGAAGCTAGCCTAGATGTATTTATAGTAAAGCAAACTGAAACAAAAAATGTCCACACACATCCTAATCCAGAAGAATGAAAAAAACCAATTGGTATTCATAACTAAATGATTTTCCAGGGGGGTAAATTTTTGGGCTGAGGAGATGGCCCTAAGGATCTTTGTAGGGGTGAATTCTGGGTAGAACTGATTTAGTAGCGGAAGCGTTTTAATGAAGAGTTGTGAACCACCTTACGCTAGTGTGTGAGGGCAAATTTGATTGATTAAATCAAAGAGATACAAGATTATATAAGAGTACAAGGAATACGAAGAGATACAGTTATAACTACTTTACTATTGCTGTTCCGGTTCGATACAGTGACGACTCGGGCAACTGCTCGGTAGCGAGTCAGTTGTGTGTCCTTGCTGTCGCGCTGTACTTGTCAGGTGAAAGGTCGCTGACCTTTGACTTTGGCGTAACCTCCAGCAGTTACTTAACCTCCGAGAGTTGACTCGCTGATGCTGCGATATGTTGTGTTTCGCTTGTGCCTTGATGTTTCGACACGACTGAGGCGCTTAGAATTAGTTGTTTCCAGCATAAATCACCTATATATGGCATGAGATAAACAGACGAGCGAAAAGGTTTGGGGCAAATGAGTGCGCTTGCGAGTGGGAGGGAGGATATGTTAGGGCAGAATGACGGGCGTGTTCACCTGTACGTACAAAACACGTGTAAGCGCAACCCGCAGGCTGCACTTACTGTCCCATACAAACATTGTGCGATTTACCTTATCTGATCCAGTGTTAAGACTTTTTTGCATTGGCATGCACACAGGCTGCGGGTTACAGATGTCAGGGGTACGCGGTGTATGTGTCGGATGAGAGTTGTGTGTGTGATATAGGATTGGGTTGACACTTGGTTTTTACTCCACAATCCCTCTATTGTGTGCGAGTCATTCATGGAACCGAGATGCACACACTTGTTCGAAATTGCATAAGAACAATGAATGCATTGGAGACGATTAGGGCTACATGTGAAATGGGATGGCTTGGACTGGGGCGAGGCAACACACTGGTCATTTATTGTTTACAAAGCAAAACATTTGCTACTATGTTTGTTTCCTTAACCACCTAGGGCAGTAACTCTCACATCTCCCAAGAAACCCAATGCTAAGGAGTCACACACATGTTAGACACGAGGCATGAGCAAGGGCTGGGCCTTGGACAACCCTTAATGGGCCTCGGAGCGGCACAAGTGCGGTTACAGCAGCAGGAGTGCAGCGAGGGCCAGGCCAATGGAGGCAAGCAGGTGGAAGATGGACGTAGTGGCTCCTGCGGGGAATGGGAGAACGACGGAGCAGGATGTTAGGGCATCATATGCAACTTGCACCGTAATTGAATTATCAAGTGGCGTGACGTACGAGAAACAAGTTTGACTTGTTCGGATCCTCACATCCACCATGACTGCGTGTGCGTGTGAGTATGTGGGTAGGTGTGGGTGTGTGGTGTGCGTGCATCCCTGCATCTCTGCGTACCTGCATACGCGCTAAGAGCCTCCATATTATAAGGAAAAAGCACCGCGTGGCTCTTGTACACCACGACCTCGCTCTCCGAAACATCCTGTACGACGTCTCCGAATAAGCGAACAGGAATGAATGAACTAGCAGTGAAATGAGTACAAGTAGGAAACCCTAGAATTGTGTACCCCCTATAGGCTAACCCACTGTAGCCTACACAAGCATAACATATATAATGTTTGACACACCCCCATAGGCAAAGTGGGGGAGAACAAGGGGTCACAAGACCAGTCAAGCAAAGCAAAGCAAGCTCAGGGTGGATCACAAAGTCACCACACAGTCCGAGCACAAGAGCAGGGCCAGAGGCCAGTTCACATGCAGGAGTACAGACATATATATAAAACTAGACAAGCAAGAGCAGGTATATATATATGTCACAGTACAAGTGAAGTCAAGAGGAGAGCTTTTGAGGCAAGACAGGCACAAGACCCAGCTGGGTGCAAAAGCGCTGATGGTCACAAGGCGCGAGTGCCTTGGTGAACACATCAGCAGTGTTGGCCTCAGAGACCACGTACGCAAGTCGCAACTGACCACGCTGCTGCAGCTCACGAGCAAGGAAGTAGCAGAGAGCAATGTGCTTCGTTCTGTGCTCCAAGCGCTGCTCTCGACACAAGGCCAGCATGGCCTTGTTGTCTACGTACAGCACTGGAGGAGAACGAGGCGGCTCTCCAAGGTCAGTCAGCAGGTAGGTGAGCCAGCGAAGCTCCTGTGCAGCCATGGCCCCGGCGTAGATCTCAGCCTCACAACTGGAGCCGAGAACCGAAGACGAGCGAGTAGACCGCCACGAGACAGAGCCGGAACCAAGGCTGAAGGTGTAACCCTGTGACGACCGCTGCGTAGCCTGGTCGTCAGCCCAAGAAGCGTCCGCGTGGCCGGTAAGGACCACTGGACTCCGCCCTCCAAGCACAAGCCCCATGCCCGACGTACTGCACACGTAGCGCAATACCCTCTTCGCTGCAGCCATGTGCTCTGGTCTGTGTCTCCCAGGAGCAACATAGCGTGCAAGAATGCTCAGAGGATATGCAAGGTCAGGTCGTGTGCAGGTCATCAGGTACATGAGGCAGCCAACAAGCTCTGCATACGGACCACTCGACTCTACGGACTCATCCGAAGGCAGAGCTGAGAGTGAGTGGCGAGTAGGCAGAGGAGTGGCCTGAGGCGAGGAGTACGTGAAGCCGAAGCGCTGAAGGACCTGCTGCACCATGTGTGACTGAGTCAAGGTAATGGTGCGGCGTGCTCTGTCCCGAGTGATCTGCAAGCCAAGGTAGCTGCGCAGTTCACCCAGGTCTGTGCACGTGTGTCTCTTCAGCAGTTCGGACTTCACGTAGGCGAGTCCAGCAGTGTCCGCTGTGGCAAAGACCAAGTCGTCGACGTACACGAGGATGTAGAACGGCGGCAGTGAAGTGTCGGTGCGCAGAAACAGCGACGGGTCAGCAGTAGAAGGAGCAAACCCAAGAGCCGCAAGCGTAGTCCTCAGTGTGTCGTGCCACTCACGCGGTGCCTGGCGGAGACCGTAGACTGGCCGTCGGAGGCTCCACTGGGTGCCAGGAGGGAAAGTCCCAGTGAAGCCAGGTGGACGGCGCAGCCAGATCTCCTCGTGCAGGCTACCCTGCAGGAACGCAGTGCTGATGTCGAGAGAGTGAAGCTCGTAGTCGCGCTGAGCGGCTATGTGCAGCAGCACCCGAAGAGTGGTCATCTTCGGGGTGGGAGAGAAGGTCTGAAAGTAGTCAGCTCCCTGCCGCTGACTGAAGCCACGAGCAACGTACCGCGCCTTGAAGACAGGTGGAGAGCCCGGCGGCCGCTTCACCCGGAAGATCCACATGCCACTGACGATGTTCGCCCCAGGAGGGGGAACTGCGTCAACGTAGGTGCCTGTGGACTTCCAGGAAGCCATCTCTGCATCCATAGCTGCCTGCCACTGAGAGGAGTAGGGACCCTCTACGGCCTCCGCGTAAGAACGCGGAGTCGGGATGTCTAGTGCATCCGGGTCTCCCTCAGGGGCAAGCAGTACAGACGCGAGATGAGGTGAAGCAGCCGCTAGACACTGTAACTCCTCCTGTCTGTCCTCTAGGACGTCCGTGCCAAGAGCACACTCACCCCCGACGGACGGAGGACAGACAGACTCAGACTCAGCAACAAGACCAGCAGCGTAGTCGAGACGACAGCGAGCAGCAAAGTCAACGAGCTCAGCGACTAGAGCAGACGCAGCAGTGGACTCAAAAGAGGGGTCAGTGACGAGAGTAGCAAGCAGACGCGTGACAGTAGGACTGGCAGCGCGAAGAGAGTCCGACTCAGGGTCGGCAAGCGCAGGAAGAGAGGACTCAGGAGGCGAAGGCAAAGGGGCACGCAGAGGAGCAGTGGACGGACGCAGAGACATCCGGTGCGTGCCAGGGACAGGAGGAGGACGCTGACGCGAACCGCGACCACTAGCGCGAGCAGCACAAACAGGCGACGCGGGACGAGACGCAGGCTCACGACGCTCAGCAAGACCTCCAGTAGGACCAGTGTAAGGAGAGGGAGCAGGCAGAGGAGAGGAAGGCTCCAACAGTGACTGCGACTGGACAGGCTGTGGACACTCTACCGAAGGAGAAAGACCAAGAACCTGCTGTAGGAGCGGAACGAAGTACGGCCGAGGCCGCGCGGCAGCTCCAGACTCAGCAGGGACAGCACCAGCACCCTCAGCGACAGCACCAGCGCCACCGACACCTCCAGCGGCAGGACCAACAGCAGTAGGCTCAGCACCAACGCCCTCAGCACCTCCAGCTCCAGGAGGACCCGCAGGTCCAGCAGCTCC